TGCAGTCTATTTCCTCCACTGCAGGTAGCACTTGACTGGAGTGGTACAACAGCTGGGAAGGAAGTAAAGAGAAAATTGATTTCTCTGTTGTTTCTTTTGGTCCCCTGGAGCAGCATTACGGTTGGCTACGCTGCATACAGGTGATCCTGGTGGCCATCTTGGGTCAAACAGAGTCTTTTTATGTTCCTGCCACCAGGGTTTGGAAAGCATCTAACGAAGTGGATAGGTTAGGGAGAGCATGCCCATCTGTCAGAGACAATACTAGCATTAGGGAAAGGTTCTTGAGGAGTAGGTCCTATATCTTCACCTTCACCTTCAGCTCCCTCTTGGGTTAGACCAGCCACACAGCACTCTACCTCCTTCAGCATGCGCTGTCTTCAGTTAAGGCCTACTACTGCTGACTCTCTGCTGCATTTACTGTGAGCTCCCAGAAGAGTGACCTCCTCGCTGGGCTGTTATACTGTTTTGCAAGATCTTCAATACGCTGGTTTTTGCATTCTGGGTCTGGGTGTGATTACTGCTGCCGCACCACACTGCACCTAACCCACATATAGTTTTGGCATTAGATACATTTTGAGATTTATGATAAGGCCTATATACAGTAAGCTTTTTTAATTTTTAGGGAAAGTGGGGCAGAGATAATTGATTGCAAAAGAATTACCCTACCTCCACACAAGGCATACTGTAGTTGGAAGCTGTTTTAGCTACTTCTCTATAAGCAGCCATTGTTTTTGGTGCAGTCGCAAGATTCTGATGTCTAATACTGTTTATTCTAGCCTGATAATGATGTGGTAAGAGTGGAAGACTTCCATGAAGAAAGTCCCCTCGTCTCAGGTTCACACAGTGGAATTGCTGGAATAGGCATGTTTGTGCTGGGGTTGTACACACTCCAAATGCCTGTCTGATTGTAGCGTAGTCTCATAGAACAGTCCAAGACACAATTCACCAGGTCAGAAAGTGAACTCAAACCCACTGGCTAGCTTGCATCTGGCTTTCATAATAATAGTACAGCCAGTCAAAGTGTAAAGCTGTGCTTTCAGCAAAATGTGCTTTACTGCAATCTGTAAGGCTGGCAAAAAATTAATTCAGACCACAACAGATAAATCCTAAAATAACGGTTGCATTCCCTGTCATTATGCTCGGGATTACCTTAAAGTGGTGGCCATATGTCACGTTGCCTTGCAAAAGGTACTGAAGTGTGTGAGACATATAAGGCATATAAGTTATAGATTGGAATATTGAGTCCTTAGGTTTTCAGGGGTTTATTAAAACGTTATGCTGCCCTAGAGACACCTTGAAAATGAGAACCTTTTGTAAAAGCTCCATTCCTTGTATCATTTATTTTTATCACAGGTATTTTTATAGCGGCGACAATTTACATATATATTGTACATTCACAGCAGGTCCCAACTCACATTCATACATGCACATACTAGGTCCAATTTAGACAGCAACCAATTGTACTACCAGCAGGTCTTTGGAGTGTGGGGAGTAAACTGGAGTGCCTTCAGCAAATCCATACCAGCACAGGGAGAACATGCAAACTTCAGGCAGGTAGTATTGGGATTCAAAATGTATTAAAGCAGAATTTCATCCAAAAGTGGAAGTTCTGCTTTTCTTCTCCTCCCATTTCCTCTCCAATTTTTGGAATTTTTTTTGGGCGGGGGGGGGGGGGGGGGGGGGGGGGGGGGGGGGGGGGTTAACAGGTAACTGCTCCCACTTTGTAGCTGCTGATGTTTAATTTTTTTGTGGGAAGAGTGAAGCTCCTTGTAGCTGGCCATCTAAGACCAGTCCTAGGTTGTTAATATGGTTCACATATATGTGTATACCAAACCTGCCAATAACCTCAGTATAGTATATATGTGTATATGTTAAAGCCAAAAGCAAAATCATTGCTGTAATTTGTCTTTTGATTGTTATATGACATTTATATATTCATTGTGTTAGCAGAAGCAGAAAAGGAAAATATGCCTAAGAGAGAGTTAGTTAAAGATGAGCCAATCACAGACAGCCTCACACTGTACAGAGCCTTAACCAATCCCAGCCAGTTTCACATTTATGCCTGTGTAAAACTCCCTGCTTGTATTTTCTAGAGACACATGCTCACCAGACAGAAGAGGAAACAGACAAGGTTCCAATCAGAAAAGCTTTATGGAAGCAGAGCAGGCCAAATAGGTATTTAATGCACTTGTGTGTTCCTCTATTGTTTAACAGTGCAGGTAGATCTGTGTCTAAAAATGTTGTATGTGTTTACTTTAGTTCCACCGAACTTACGAACTTATCGAATTTACGAATATACCGAATCAAGTCACTGTAGAGTAATCATAATCGAACGAATTTACCAAATCTAACGAATTTATCAATCTATCGAATCAACCCAATGTAATACGAATGAAACCATTGTATGATAAATGAAACAAGCCATTGTAAGCAGCTATATGAAGAAGATTGAAGTTATTAAAGAAGTTAACTAAAGTATTCGGTGTGCTCTTTAAACCTACTGCATCCATAGAGCGGCATTGGAGGAATTACAGAGTAAAGTCAGTTTAATCAAAGAAACAGCAACTGCATAATTTTTCTAATGCCACAGCGCACAAGGCACCAAAGGGTGCTGCGCCTGCCACACTCCTCTTTAAGACATATATATATCTTTTAGCTATATACAGTTTCAAGAAAAAGTATGTGAACCCCTTGGGATTACGTGGAGTTTTGCATGAATTGGGCATAAAATGTGCTCTGAACGTCATCTAAGTCACAACAATAGAAGAACACAGTCTGCTGAACATAATACTACACAAACCTTAGATGTTGCCATGGTTTAATTGCACATGACATGTAAACATTCATAGTGCAGGGAGGAAAAAGTATGTGAACCTTTGGACTTAATAACTGGTTGACCCTCCTTTGGCAGCAATAACCTCAACCAAACGTTTCCTGTAGTTGCAGATCAGACCTGCACAACGATCTGGAGTCATTTTGGACCACTCTTCTTCACAAAACTGTTTCAGTGTAGCAATATTCTTGGGATGTCTGGTGTGAATCGCTCTCTTAAGGTCATGCCACAGCATTTCAATCGGGTTGAGGTCAGGACTCTGACTGGGCCACTCCAGAAGGCGTATTCTGTGCTGTTGCAGCCATTGTCTTGTTGAATTACTTGTATGCTTTGGGTCATTGTCCTGTTGCATCACCCATCCTCTGCAGAGCTTCAGTTGGCGGACAGATGGTCGTACGTTTTCCTGCAAAATGTCTTGATCCAATGCCTGATGAACTGATCCAGCCTGATGATCCTATCACGCCTGATGACCCAGTGCCCACTGTCATACCTGGTGACCCGATGCCCGCTGTCGAGCCAGACGATCCAATGCCTGATGACCCAGTGCCCGCTGTCATGCCTGGTGACCCGATGCCCGCTGTCGAGCCAGACGATCCGGTACCTGATGACCCGGTGCCCGCTGTCATACCTGGTGACCCGATGCTCGCTGTCGAGCCAGACGATCCAATGCCTGATGACCCAGTGCCCGCTGTCATGCCTGGTGACCCGATGCCCGCTGTCGAGCCAGACGATCCAATGCCTGATGACCCGGTGCCCGCTGTCGATCCAGACGATCCGGTACCTGATGACCCAGTGCCCGCTGTCATGCCTGGTGACCCGATGCCCACTGTCGACCAGACGATCCAACGCCAGATGACCCGGTGCCCGCTGTCGATCCAGACGATCCGGTACCTGATGACCCGGTGCCCGCTGTCATGCCTGGTGACCCGATGCCCCCTGTCGAGCCAGACGATCCAATGCCTGATGACCCAGTGCCCGCTGTCATACCTGGTGACCCGATGCCCGCTGTCGAGCCAGACGATCCAACGCCAGATGACCCGGTGCCTGCTGTCGAGCCAGACGATCCGGTACCTGATGACCCGGTGCCCGCTGTCGTGCCAATTGACTCAGAGCCCACTGTCGTGCCTGGTGACTCGGTGCCCACTGCCTTGCCAGATGACGCGGTGCCCGCTGGTGAGCCAAATGACCTGATGCCTGGTGACCCAGTGCCCGCTGTCATACCTGGTGACCCGATGCCCGCTGTCGAGCCAGACAATCCAATGCCTGATGACCCAGTGCCCGCTGTCATGCCTGGTGACCCGATGCCCGCTGTCGAGCCAGACGATCCAATGCCTGATGACCCAGTGCCCGCTGTCATGCCTGGTGACCCGATGCCCGCTGTCGAGCCAGACGATCCAATGCCTGATTACCCAGTGCCCGCTGTCATGCCTGGTGACCCGATGCCAGCTGTCGAGCCAGACGATCCAGCGCCAGATGACCCGGTGCCTGCTGTCGAGCCAGACGATCTGGTACCTGATGACCCGGTGCCCGCTGTCGTGCCAATTGACTCAGAGCCCACTATCGTGCCTGGTGACTCGGTGCCCACTGAATTGCCAGATGACGCGGTGCCCGCTGTCGAGCCAAATGACCTGATGCCTGGTGACCCGATGCCCGCTGTCGAGCCAGACGATCCAATGTCTGACCCAGTGCCCGCGGTCATGCCAGTTGACTCGGAACCCACTGTCGTGCCTGGTGACTCGGTGCCCACTGCCTTGCCAGATGACGCGGTGCCCGCTGGCGAGCCAAATGACCTGATGCCTGGTGACCCGATGCCCGCTGTCGTGCCTGATGACCCGGTGCCCACCGCTCCGCCTGGGGGCCCGGTGCCCGCCGCCCCTACTGGGGGCCCGGCGCCCGCCGCACCGCCTGGGGGCCCGGCGCCCACCGCTCCGCCTGGGGGCCCGGCGCCCGCCACTTTGCCTGGGGGCCCGGCGCCCGCCGCTCTGCCTGGGAGCCCCATGCCTGTCGCTCCGCCCGGGGGCCCAGTGCCTGCCACCCCTCCTGGGGGCCCGGTGCCTGCCGCCCCACCTGGGGGCCCTGTGCCCTGCCGCTCCGCCTGGGGGCCCGGTGCCCGTCTCTCCGCCTGAGGGCCCGATGCCCGTTGCTCCACCTGGGGGCCCGGTGCCTGTCGCTCCGCCTGGGGGCCTGGTGCCTGTCGCTTCGCCTGGGGGCCCGGTGCCTGCCGCTCCACCTGGGGGCCCGGTGCCCGCCGCTCTGCCTGGTGGCCGGTGCCTGCCGCTCCGCCTGGTGGCCCGGTGCCTGCCGCCCCACCTGGTGGCCCGGTGCCTGCCGCCCCACCTGGTGGCCCGGTGCCTGCTGCTCTGCCTGGTGATCCAGTGCTTGCTGCTCCGCCTGGTGATTCGGTGTCCAGCCCGATGTGCCTCTGCCCGGAGTCCAGCCCGATGTGCCTCTGCCCGGAGTCCAGCCCGATGTGCCTCTGCCCGGAGTCCAGCCCGATGTGCCTCTGCCTGGAGTCCAGCCCGATGTGCCTCTGCCCGGAGTCCAGCCCGATGTGCCTCTGCCCGGAGTCCAGCCCGATGTGCCTCTGCCCGGAGTCCTGCCCGATGTGCCAGTCTTTGATATCCCGCCAGTTACCAGACCCGGGCGGTGGAACATTTTGCCCAGCTAGGACTGTTTGGAGCGTCCTGAGGCCGCTCCTTGAGGGGGGGGGGTACTGTCAGCAATGGACTTGCCAGTAATGGTGGGACTCACCTGCCTTGTGGGCTGCAGTACCAGGGCTGGCCAGCGGGTGCTCTCAGCAATCAGAGACTCAACCCTGCAGTCAGCCAAACACCTGAAGCTGATTACGGAGGTGTATTTAAGGGATGGCCAGACCTGCAGTCTGGGCCTTGGTGTGTGTTTTTCTATGGGCCCCTGTATCTTGTTACCTGCATTCCTGTTCCTGTTCCTGTTCCTGCCTGACTGACTCGTTGCCGACCCTGCCTGATCCTGACCTCTGCTGACTTCTCCTGTTTGATCCCTGGCTTGTGACCCCGACCATTCTCTGCCTGACCCCCTGTACCTACCTGCCCGTTAGTTGCTGTACCTGGCTCGTGACCTGACTACTCTCTGCCTGCTCCTCCTGTTCCTACCTGCCCGATTGTTATTGACCCGGCCTGCCTGACTACGCTTGCATTGTATGTATTGTTATCTGTGGGTGGCTTGGTTTGGTTCGTTTGCACTTTGTTTATGTTTTAGTATTGCACTGCGTTTTGTATTGTTAGTATTAATAAATTATATTGTTTATAACATATCTGAAGCCTGCGTTTCCCTGCGTCAGTTCACATACCTCTGGTCATACCCGGAGCCCTGACAGAGGACCACCTGTGTAGCAGGGAAGGAACGGCCCAGCTAAAATGCCAGGTAGCAAAACACAGAAACTGCCACTTTAGCAGAGCAGCCCCAGATGATTAGGAGCTAGTTGGGCTGGCCACCTTACTGCCCTCTCTCTTTATCTGGCGCAGGGGGGTGAGTGTAGGATTACTCACTCAATTTTCTCCTGTGAGCTTGATGGGATGGTGTCTGCCTTCAGGCCTTTTGCTGGGCTGGCTTCTTCCCTGCTTCACAGGTGATCTCTCTCTCAGGGGACTGAGAGAACCTCTTTTCCAGCTCCTGCCTGCAGGTAGGCCCTTCTTCTGGACCCCCATCCAGCCTTCACTCCATCTTCCACCTGACACTGACCAACTCCTCCCAGGATCTGCAGTAGTTAAGGGGTTGCCTTGATCACCATGCCCTGCCAAGGTCCCTCAAGTATGTAGAACTGACCTTCTTCCCCTCCTTTATTCCTTCTCCAGAAATCTCTCAGGTTTAAGGAGAGATGGGAGGGCTCCAGAAGCTCTGACCTTCAGAACCTCCCTAGCCTCCTGAGGTACTGTAACCTCACTCCCAGGCTGACTCATCCCAGGCTGCTACTCAGCCTCTGACTAAAAACCTGTCTAGCTCCCCCTAGCTAAACTAGGGCACTACATTTATATGTATTATAATTTGTTATTATTTTTTAGCCAAGTAAATGCCAAATATTGTACAATTTATTTGTTTTGTTAACCTAGCATGTAGAGCTCCCTAAACTTTTATTTATTTTCCTTGTCTACTTATAACCTATTATTGATAGGTCATTTAACTGAATTCAAAACTTTTTTTTCATTTTGTACAGAGTATAGAGTAAGGGAGGGTTATAATCCCGTTGTTTGCCATCTGTGTCCCATATGGGAGATTTCCCTTGACTCCCTGTTGCAAAGCCACAGTCTACTTATCTACTTATAACCTATTATTAATAGGTCATTTAGCCGAATTCAAAAACTTTTTTTTTCATTTTGTACAGAGTATAGAGTAAGGGAGGGTTTATAATCCCGTTTTTTTGCCATCTGTGTCCCATATGGGAGATTTCCCTTGACTCCCTGTTGTAAAGTCAAAACAGGAAGTGAGAAAAAATCTTCCCAAAATGAGGACTCTGGGGGTATCATCAGGGTCACCAGATCTATTGTCCTCATTGAACAATTTCCCCTTTACTAATTTTAGGATGTCAATCCAAAATTTAGAATTTTCTATTACTTTCATTCTTAACTCTATCCAAAACTAAAAAAAAAGTGTTGTCTTTAGTTACATTTTAATGGCTATTTTGCAAAATTTCCCTCATGCATTTCTGCATCCCGAGCACATTACACACCACTCCTCCACTGTTCAAATAGCTGCTCCTCTGAGCCACCTTAATGGCAAGATGAGCCAGATGTTAGTTGCCCCCCCCCCCCTCCAGTAGCCACTTTGGCTCATTTAAACACTGTCCATGCATAGAGTATTCTCTCAGCCACTGCTGCTCCTGAGAGAGCACACTGTTTGAATGAGTCATTGCGGTTCACTGATAATATCCGGCAATGGCAAAACATAGAGAGGTCATCTACTAAAGAGTTTTCTGGACAAGCTGAGCATGGCCTATATGTATGGAGGAGGACATGACAACTATTGAACAGCAAAGGAGCGGTATGTAATGTGCAAAAGGTATAAGGATGCATTGCGGATTTTTTTCTGTGGGAATGTGGGAATCCTTTGTCATGTATTAAATATTTATTTAAAAAAAAAAAAATTAGAGGCCTATAGTAGATGTAAAACAGCTATAAAGCGACAATTTAAAACTGTAAATGCTTAAAAATGAAAACAACATTGACTCAAATCGTTTAGCATGGATGAACACACTAACAGTGTGCCACATTATAGTGTGTTGTATTGCATGGTAATATGCAATGGGTTAAGGCAGCCAATTAAAATAGAACTACAGTACAGGCAAAAAATTTTTTCATTTTGGATAGCGTAAGGGAGGGTTATAACCCCTGTCAGTTTATTTTTCGCCATCTGTGTCCCATTGTGGAGATTTCCCTTCATTTTCTGCCCCATAGCTAAAACAGGAAGTGAGAAAATCTCTGCAAAATTAATGTAATTCCTTGGGGACCCCAAGGTCACCAGAACTAGTGTCCCCATGGGAAGATTTCCTCTCTATGACTTTTCTCAGGACAACCCAAAATGTGTTTTTTCTTTTACTTTCACTTTTGATGATAATGGTAAACAGGACAAATAGAGGGTGAATCTCCCTAATGGGGGCACAGGCCGCAATAAAAACTGACAGATCTTCTAATCCCTCTCCACTCTATCCAAGGCTAAAAAAAAAGTTTTGCCTTTAGTTATACTTTAAATTTGAATGAGCTCCCAACACACCACAGTGCACACAAAACACACATGACTTTTTTTGACGCAGCACACCACAAGGCACCGCATGTGCTTTGTAGTGCAGTGCAGTGAAAGTGGGCGCATTACTTGCTACTGCACAGTGTGTTCCGGTGCCTTTCAAAATGCAATAGTCTGAATGGGCTCTTACAGTTCCTACTGTACAGGCCAACAATTAAGAGAAACCAGTAATGGCTTCATGTTTCTTCAACTACAGTGAAGATATTAAAGAACATGTAAACCCAACATTTCATATTTCTGATATATGCCTGCTGTACCATGTACTTGTATGAAAATGTATTCTCTTCTCTTTGTATTGTTTTCTTTAGGTGAAATTTCTGCTGTTCCTGTCAGTCCCTTTGCTTTCCTATTAAAACTGACCACACTAAGCAGGAGAACACACTGTGGCCAGTTCTCTGGCTGTGCTGGGAACTCAGCCTGCTCTCCTCTAATTATCTAAACCTGTCATGACTCCCCCCCCCCCTTCCCGCACAGCCATTCACTGGGAAGTTTAGTGTGCTACTGTCTCCTCCCCCAGATCCTATGCAGCTGAGAACAGAAGGAATGTGATCACTTATAAAAAAGTGAAAAAAATTATAATGTTTTTTAATATCTATACACAAATATTATACCTTTCATTTCTATTTTAAACTGAATTGGTTGTTTTGCAAGGTGAAGGTTTACAACCACTTTATCCTTTATTAGAATCCCTGTACAAACTCCATTTACTGAATTTTGCCTCAAATTTCCATAGGTGAGCAGAAAAGAGAAAAAAAGAAGATATTATCAGAGTTTGTATGTTATGAGGCTTGGGGCTGTCTACCTGACTATTCCTTGGATTGGCTGCTTGCTACATAGTGGAATTTATTTCCAAAAAAATAGATTATACCTTTGAAAAAAAACTGTAAAAAGGCTTTAAGGAAAAACCTACTAAATGTGTTTCACCCAAAAAATAGGACATTAATATAAAAATATTATTCCTTTTTAAATTATTAACATCCCCGGTCATAAATAGTACATTGTTTCACTGGTAGAAAATGCATGTGAATAATTCATTTCTGATACTGAGAGATACCAGCTGTGTTCAGTCAGGTTTCAGTTTATCTCATGTGATGGGGAACAATTCATAGCCAACTGATGTTATCATTTCCTGAACTTGCTGTTTTCTTTCACGCAATGTAGCAATGTAGTGTACCTGCCAATATTGTGTACTGATATACAGCAACCTCATGACATGAACGGTGGGGCTGCCCTGGGTTGACAGTTGCTTGTGTTCCCTAATACATCCAAATCACCTTGTTGGGTGAAAAGTTAAGTAAAAGGTGTTTACTAAAGGAAGAGAGAAAAATTAATCAACCATTCACTGTACATAGGATGGCTGGAGGATAGTGCCAGACTGGGACTAAAAAGTATCCTTGACATATAGTGATCATTAGCCAACATTTATCTATGTTAATGCATTTTTCAGGACAAAATATATGTTAGGACTATTACCACTTCAAACCCAGTACCTTTTTGGAACCAAGTTCGGAGCATACGATAAACTAAATCCTCTGGACGGCATGTGGTTAATTTGATTGGTTTAGTTCTGCTTTAATTTTAAAAGTAATTTGGAAAAAAAGTTCCAATCAAGTATTAGGGCCCTTTTACACTGATCAGTTTTTCAGTTAAAAAAAGCGGAAGAAAAATGCAGTAAAAATGCATACTTTTGAATCCTATGGAACTCTTCAATTGCATTTTAGTTGCATTTTTGGCTGCTTTCACATTGTTCCATTGCAAAAAACGCTGTAAAAATGCATAATCTTACACTTTTTTTAACTGAAAAACTGATCAGTGTGAAAGGGCCCTAACAATTACCAAACCTC